ATTCTCGTGACATCCCCCCCCCCCCCCCGCTATCGTTATTGCCAGGTAAAGAAGCATGTGCGCAGCTTCCATTCGGAAAAGATTTACCAATGCACAGAATGTGACAAGGCTTTCTGCCGCCCCGATAAGCTGCGTCTCCACATGCTGCGCCACTCGGACCGCAAGGACTTCCTGTGCTCCACCTGCGGGAAACAGTTCAAGGTAATGCCATCAACAGGTCTGGCAGGCATTGGAAACAGTTGCAGCATTTCGTCTGGCTGCCTAGTGGCCAGGTGTGACATCTCGGAAAGAGAAGCAGTCTGCCTCTGTCCTTTGCATGTCATGCAGACTGCCTGGATTTAACACACAACATGCACGTATGCAACAGTGTGGGATAAGCTGTGCTTTAGCACTATCTGTAATGGACAGCCACATGAGAAATATGCTTACAAGACTGTGGTTCATGGATGCCTTTCTCTGACTCAGAATTCAAGAAACAAGTCCCAGGTTTTCCCAGTATTTCCGTGATTCTAGTTTCCGTTCTGAGATTAGCCCATCCCTGCTGGTAAGTCCACAGAAGTTGCTAGCCTGTACACATTTCACCTGTCCTTATCATTTGTGTCCCAAGACAGACAGAAATAATCACTTTTTGTAAAGCTTCCTTGGGACTAAGCAGATGAATGAAGGGTAAGTTTATCCCTAGCCATTTGTCGAGATGGCTAAATGAAACTTAGAGGCAGGATACCTCTGAGCACCAGTTGCTAGGGGTGAATGCAGGAGCAGGGATGTTCCCATCATGCCCTGCTTATGTGTTTCCCAGCAGCATCTTGTTGGTGGCTGTGGGAAACGGTGCTGGACAAGATGGATCTTAAACGTATGAAGCTGCCTTATGCTGAATCAGTTCTATCAAGGTGGGTACTGTCTGACTGGCAGTGACTACTCCATAGTCTCCCGTATGGTCTTTCAGGTCACCTCCTGTCTGAACCTTTAAACAAGAGATGCTGGGAGGTGAACCTGGGACCTTCTGTATACAAAACAGGTGCTCTAGCTCTGAGCCACAGCCCCTCCCCATGGCCCCTCCTAAAGGACCTTCTGTCTGACTCATCCATTCCTGATGCCTGGCTGCATGAAGGTTATTCTTACTTGCTACAGGTAACCAGGCAAATGGGTATTTCGCAAGACTGGACTAGACTTTGTTGGTATGGCATCAAGCCTATGAGCAGTGAGCAGAAATCTAAAATGTGACCATTTGCTGTCAAAATGAAATAAGTCCCATGGGATAGAGGTCTGTCTTTTTTGTTTATGAAGCCCTGTAAAGCACTGTGTACTTTGCTGAAAGTGCATAATAGCAAATAATAATCTTAATTTATGCTTCCTGATGCTCAGCCATGTAACGGATGCTGAAAATAAATAGTAATTCAAGTGCATGTTGCATCATGCTTTAAGTGGCCCTAAGACTACAAGAATCCCAGCGGCAAAGATGCCTGTCTTCAACATTTGTGAGCAGTAGAACAAACTCTGAGTTCAGTAGCACCTTTAAGACCAACAAAGTTTTATTCAAGCAATGAGCTTCCATAGAATCATAGAGTTGGAAGGGACCTCCAGGGTCATCCAGCCCAAACCTCTGCACAATGCAGGAAATTCACAAATACCTCCTCCCCCCACCCCCAGTGACCACTGTTCCATGCCCAGAAGATGGCAAAAAACCTCCAGGATCTCCAGCCAAACTGACTTGGAGAAAAAGTACTTTTGTGTGCATGCACACTTCCTCAGATACATTAAAATGGAAGGTAGCAGTTCACTGATATATAGAGAAGGTGAACAGTAAATCAGCATACAGCATAATGACAATGTTTTAACAGATGCAAAAACTAAACAGTTATAACAGGAGGAGACAAAACGGAGTATAACAAGAGTAAAAGGATACTTTTATACAATCAGTCTCCTGTTTTGACATATTTACTGTGTTTCCCCGTAATTAAACCAAACAAACTTAACTTGTTTTAACTGTTTAGTTTTTGCATCTGTTAAAACATCATTATGTTGTATGCTAGTTTACGGTTCATCCTCTCTATATATCAGTGAACTGTTACCTTCTATTTCAGTGTATCTGAGGAAGTGTGTGTGCACATGAAAGCTCATATCTTTAATAAAACTTTATTGGTTGTAAAGGTGCCACTGAACTCAAACTTTGTTCTTCTGCGTCAGGCCAACACAGCTGCCTGCCTGGATTTGTGAGCAGTCTAAAACAATCAAGCCTCGGATAGCCTCGACCGACTACGAGAGCTTCATGTTCAAGTGTCGCCTGTGCATGATGGGCTTCCGGAGGAGAGGCATGCTGGTTAGTGTGCTGGTGCTCCAGCCTCCCTCGAGGAGATCTTTGCCAATTAGGAATCAGTATTACTGTGCGAGTTGCCTTTTTGTGTCAGCTCCGGTGATTAATGAAGAAACATGTGCGAATTTAGAACAAAGACTCACTAAATAAGCGCAGGATGGCTTGCAGGCTGGAAAGAGGCGGAAGCGATCACGCGGCTGCTTCATCATATGTTGGATACGGCACCTATTTGAGTGCCAGCTCGGTTGCGCGAGCTGGCCTCACATCACACAAAACACTCTTTTAGCACTTCCGTAAATCAGATTAACCTGCCACTACCCCAGTGCCTGTTGTACAACAGCAGCCATGGAGAAAAGGTCAATGGCTGTTAGTCATGATGACTGAATGGGACCTCCATGATGGAGGCAATGTACAACTGAATGGCAGTTGCTGGGGGAGGTTTTAACTTCTGTGCCTATGCCGTGGACCTTCTAGGGTGCTGGTTCTCAACTGGCGGTACACAAACCACTGATGGGATGCTGGTTTTTCATAACAATTGCTAAGAATCTGCTCTCCCTCAATCCTTGTGTCCACCTCTGGGTGTGACATGCCGTCTCTTGCCGACCCCACCTGCCAGGAGTTATCCATCTGTGGCCTTTTGGTATGCTAGTGGTATTGACAGAAGGCCTGTAAACATATAAATGTCCCTCTCAAAAAAAAAAAGTGGCTTTTTGTTTCTATCATAGTAGGACCCAGGTTCTTTGACAGGTAGGTGGGACATGAAATATAAAAAGATGAGAACCACCGTTCTAGGGCAGCCGTGGATCTTCTAGGGTGCTGGTTCTCTACTGGCGGTACACAAACCACTGATGGAATGCTGGTTTTTCATAACAATGGCTAAGAATCTGCTCTCCCACAATCCTTGCGTCCACCTCTGGGTGTGACATGCCGTCTCTTGCCGACCCCACCTGCCAGGAGTTATCTATCTGTGGCCTTTTGGTATGCTAGTGGTATTGACAGAAGGCCTGTAAACATATAAATGTCCCTCTCAAAAAAAAAAAGTGGCTTTTTGTTTCTATCATAGTAGGACCCAGGTTCTTTGACAGGTAGGTGGGACATGAAATATAAAAAGATGAGAACCACCGTTCTAGGGCATCCACAGTATTATCCTAAGCAGAGTTACAACCTTCTAAGTCCGTTGACTTCACGTCTGCTTAGGATAGCACTGCCAGTCACCTCCTGTGGGAAACAGGATGCTGGGCTCGACAGACCCTTGGCTCCTCTTTTATTCTTAATAACCCTACTTAGCATTTATGTAACCAGTGTTCCCTCTAAGCTTAGTGTGAGTTCGCTCATAGTTTTTTAGTCTCCAGCTCACACATTTTTGTCTTAGCTCGGGAAGGATGGCTCCAGAGCAAACTAATTTATGCAGCAGCCAAATCGCTCGCTCACAACTTTAATGCCAGTAGCTCACCAAGTGGAATTTCTGCTCACAACACAGCTTAGAGGGAGCTAAGGTAACCCATCTCAGCGCATCAATCCCGTTAAGATAGGTCTGCATTATAATACATAAAAAAGGTAAAGGTAAAGGTTCCCTTGCTCGAAAGCCAGTCGAATCCGACTCTAGGGTTGCGGTGCTCCGTTTCAAAGCCGAAGAGCCAGCGCTGTCCGAAGACGTTTCCGTGGTCATGTGGCCGGCATGACTAAACACCAAGGCGCACGGAACGGGCTCCAGAGCAAACTAATTTATGCAGCAGCCAAATCGCTCGCTCACAACTTTAATGCCAGTAGCTCACCAAGTGGAATTTCTGCTCACAACACAGCTTAGAGGGAGCTAATGTAACCCATCACTGGTGTTCAAAGTGCTTCATGTACATCACCACAGCTCTCAGTGCACTAATCCTGTTAAGATAGGTCTGCATTATAATACATACATAGGATCAAAACTGAGAAAGGTGTGGCTTGACTGTAGACCCCCTAGCATTGGTGAGATCTGAAGCAACTTCCAAGGTTACAATTCACACTGTGCAGGAATAAAATCATAAAAATGCACCACAGTAAATATCTGCTAGTGATTCCTTGCTCGTGTTATGATAAATCACGAATAGTGAAAACGGGTCTGTCCAATGGCTCATTGATAACTCAGATCGAATGAATCTCATGCTTCTGAACAGGTCTGCACAGCTGAGCTGAACAGGGGAGCTCCAGTTCTTCACGGCCGCAGGCAGCAGTCGTCGGCGCTTTTAACATCGTTGCCAGTTTTCTCGATATGCTCTGCTTTCTAATCTTAGGTGAATCATTTATCAAAGAGACATCCAGACATGAAAATAGAAGAGGTGCCAGAGCTAACACTGCCCATCATCAAGCCCAACAGAGATTATTTCTGTCAGTACTGTGATAAGGTATGAAATGGATCTACCTCCCACTCCTCGGGGTCTGCATCAAATTGCCTGCATGCATAAATGTGTAACAGATCTTGTAACTCTTCCCTCCCTTCCAATTTTTTCCCCTAACACTGGAGGAGAGGGCTTAAAAAAAAAAAAACCCACAGTCCGCCAAGGCAGTAAATTAAATAAAAAGGGCTTGGAAGAAGAGAACTTTGGGTGCGAGATGAAAATAAATTGTCTTCTAGGAATCCAAACGGGCTCCTAAGCACTTTACAGATTGGATGGCCTTTTGTATTTTGATGTTCAGACAATATGGTAGTTAGGCTTGCCAGGTCCCCCCGGGGGGCAGGGAAACCCCCGCCCCAGAGGCCCGTTCCCCGCCGCCAGCGGATTGGGCCCTGGGGGGAACCCCACCCTGACGTGGACGTCACCCGGAAATGATGTGACGACGCTGGGCACGCTGGGGGCGGGGCCTCAGTCATCCGAGGGAAAACTCTATGTTTTTCCCTCGGATGGTCGTGGCCCCGCCCCCAGTGTGCCCAGCATCATGACGTCACTTCCGGGTGAAGTGCATGCGGTGCGCACACGTGCACGCGCTCCATCCGCCAGCCGGGAGTCCCCAGCTAAGGCTCATACGAGCACTTGGCAACCCTAATGTTAGTTCCTTGCCTTATGGCCTACATAATTATTCTTCCCAGGTTTTCTAGTCGATTGGACTAATCTACAATTTAACATTGAATGCTTGTATTGCCAAACAGAGCAGGGACAGCAGATTAACCCATAAGATTACCACACTGTCATGGAGGTGTTCAGTCAGGATGTGTGAGAAAGAAACAGGGACATATTTATGAGATACAAACTAAGGGGGATGAGACTTTGATTCATACGTACAGGAAATGGTCACTGCCCTTTTCGTAACAATCCCGTAGCGGCAAGTGGGGCCTCTCCGGGCCCGCCCCCCGATTTACCAACAAGGCCCCACGACTTCCGATCCAGCCCAGGCCCCTCAACTTTTTTTATTTATTTATGGTGCTCCCTTGGGGGTGTATGCGGGTGCCCCCCCAACTTATTTAAAGGCCTCCCCGAACTACAGGCCTTTTCCGTAAGTGTGCAGCACCCTAGTGTTGGTGATGGGAAGTGCCATCAAGTCACAGCCAATATAGGGTGGCCCCGTAGGGGTGTCAAGGCAAGAGACGAACAGAGGTGGTTTGACATTGCCTGCCTGGACTCCCTTGGTGGTCTCCCATGCAAGTACTAACCAGGTCTGACCTTGCTTAGTTTCCGATATCGGATGAGATTGGGCTAGCCTGGGCCATCCAGGGCAGGGCCTCCTAGCATTAAAAAGGTAAAAGGTAAAGGTCCCTTGCTCGAAAGCCAGTCGAATCCGACTCTAGAGTTGCGGTGCTCATCTCCATTTCAAAGCCGAAGAGCCAGCGCTGTCCGAAGACGTTTCCGTGGTCATGTGGCCGGCATGACTGAACACCAAGGCGCACGGAACGCTGTTACCTTCCCACCGAAGTGGTCCCTATTTATCTACTTGCAATTTCTTGCTTTCGAACTGCTAGGTTGGCAGGAGCTGGAACTAGAGACGGGAGCTCACTCCATCATGCGGCACACTCGGGTCTCGAACTGCTGAACTACCGACCTTCCACAGCCTGCAGTTCAGCATCTTAACCACTTGAGCCACCGCAGCTCCTCCCCTAGCATTACATATAAGAAAATCCCATATTGTGTCCTAGAGCTGAAATGTAAGGATTACCCATTATGCCTTTCATTCAGCTGTCGTGTTTGCAGTTTGGGTAGACCAAGAGGGTGGTGAAAGGGTAGATTTTGTCCATCCTCTCAGTGCACACAAAGTGGGTGAACTGACTGCAGAATGGGGATGGGATGGATACAGTCATACCACCTCTAGTTTGGTGTAGTGGTTAAGTGTGCGGACTCTAATTTGGGAGAACCGGGTTTGATTCCCCACTTGTCCACTTGCAGCTGCTGGATGACCTTGGGCAAGCCATAGTTCTGACAAGAGCTGTCCTTGAAAAGGCAGTTCTTGAAAGAGCTCTCTCAGCCCCACCTACCTCACAGGGGGAGGGGAAGGGAAAGGACTTTGTAAGCCGCTCTGAGACTCCAAGTGAAGGGCGGGGTATAAATCCAATCTCCTCCTCCTCCTCCTCCTCTAATGCTGTGGGTGCATTCCTGTGTGAAACAGAAGCATGAGAGGTAATTATAGCACTTCTCTATATGTTAATATCCGAGGGCTAATCTGAGGAGTCAGCAACTATCAGCTGGCCACCTCTGTTAGGCTCCTGTGCTGGAGTAAGCCAAAAACCATTTCTGGGTTCCCTTCCGCACGGAATCTTCCTCCTGGGAGAGCCTGTAGCAGCCTCTGCTTCTCCCATTCCTCAGGTCTTTTACAGACCTCTGATGTGGGGTGAGAGGTGGCCAACAACATCACACCCATGTCAATAAAAGACATGAATGGCTTAGAAACCGGGAACTGGAGCAGCAGGGCTCATGGAGAAGGCTGCCGCAGGTGCTTCGAGGAGGAAGCCTCAACGCAGAAGGGAATCCAGGGGTGCTCCTTGATCAGCATGGGAGCCGACCAGAGTTGCTCCCCCTTCCGTCCCCAGCTAGGACGGAAAGTGCTGTAACAAAAACAGTGCCATAGGAAAGCAGCACCGGACAAGGTTTTCCTGCATCCCACTTCAGTTAGTGCGGAATACAACTGTGCACGCTTGCCTGCGTGGTGTAAAATGCAGGAGTAATGACTCAGACAATCTGTCATTCTCTTAACTGCCGTGCAGATCTTATGACACATTAATTTTTGCAAAGCCGTACATGCGCAGATAAGAAAAAGTATGTGTCAAATACAGAGCAAGCGAAGAACTGTACCAACAGATATCGGCTGCCTTTTTACCTGTCTCCAGAAGAACCTTCAACAACGCTTCTTCATTGCCCGCAGGTTTATAAGAGTGCCAGCAAACGCAAAGCGCACATTCTGAAGAATCACCCGGGTGCCGAGCTTCCTCCGAGCATCCGAAAGCTCCGTCCAGCGGGCCCAGGAGAGCCAGACCCCATGCTGAGTACCCATACCCAGCTCACGGGCACGATAGCGACTCCACCCGTTTGCTGCCCTCACTGTTCCAAGCAGTATAGTAGCAAGGTACGGTGGGTTTCTCCCTTTGTCTCCAGGTGAACTTCCTTCTCATGGTTTTGGAAGAGCAGTCATGTTGGTCTGCAGAAAAAGAGTCCAGTAGCACCTTAGGGACTGGGAAGATGTTCAGGGTATAACTTTCGAGAGTCACAGCTCCCTTCATCAGGTGCTTGTCTGACAAAAGGAGCTTTGAATGTCAAAACCATATGCCCCCAAACCAAAAACCATATACCCCCAAATCTTGCTAGTCTCTAAGGTGCTACTGGATTCTAACCTAGCTTTCTGTCTCATGGAAATTGTCAAGTTCCCCTAGCTCTTTTTCTACGTAATGGCCCCTGCCTATATGGAATATTAAAGTAGTGATTTGAAAGACTAGACCGGACTAAAGGAAGAGGAGGTTGAGGGGGGACATGATTGCTGTCTTGAAGTATCTGAAGGGCTGTCACTTGGAGGAGGGCAGGGAGCTGTTCCTGTTGGCAGCAGAGGAGAGGACTCGCAATCATGGGTTTAAATTAAGGGCGGGAAGGTACTGGCTGGATCTTAGGACACACTTTTTTCTGACAGTCAGAGTTGTGCAGCAGTGGAATGGGCTGCCTCGGAAGGTGGTGAGTTCCCCCTCACTGGCAGTCTTTAAGCAGCAGCTGGACAAACACCTCTCAGGGATGCTCTGGGCTGATCCTGCACTGAGCGTGGGGTTGGACTGATAGCCCCTTCCAGCTCTGTGGTTCTATGATTTTCTTCTATGATTCTATGACTGGTGATGGGTGGAGGGTGAATGCTTAAGCTGGTAGGGCACTAAAAAGCCTTCTGCAGCAGTGTCTCTCCCCCCCTCCCCCAGGAGGACACATAGTTTCTTAGGAGCAGGTCCTGGTGGTGAGGCTGGTGTTACCACATGTGCTCTGTTTCACATGTATTGACACATGTGGACTCTCTGACTTGGGTTTGGGACACTCACCTGGAACCAGAACCCATTTGGGGCAATTAAGCTCAGTGTCAAGGGGAAACCTCTTCCTGCTTCCGTAGCCTGGCTAGCTTGGAAAACTGGCACACTCACCAATGAGGGGGAGCAGAATGCACGATTTAGGGATCTTTCTCCGGATAGTGGGCAGGCAAGCTCAAAGTGCCTCTAATAGGCTACCAGTAATCACGAAACAACTAGATCTTTTCCAAAGCAAGGTTTAGAATTTAGAGGGAACACTGGGGGTGAGACTGCATAATTTTGGCTGGCAGAACAGCAATAGCTATGGGGCCCCCCACAAAAGAATATCAAAGAAGTAATTGTAAAGTCCAGACATTCTGAGTGGGTCCAGGAGGAGAATCTGTGGGTTTCCTGACTTTGATGGAGTTAGGAAGGGGGGCTTTTCCAGAAAGAGTCGCGAAGAGTCGGACCCGACTGTGCGACTGAACAACAACACAAACAAAAGGTGATTGTGTCCAGGTAGAGTGGACAAAAGAGCTGGCAAGGTAGAGCTTCAGACATGCCTGAGTCAGGTTGAGAGGAAACATTCAGACAAGGTCAGTAAACGTAATCAAGCCTACTTGGTTGCTTAACTGTAATTGGATTTTGTACTCAGGAAGACTTGCTGCCACGGATGAAATTACATTGATAGATCTAGGTGGGTCCCTGGCTTTTCAGGCCCCCATGACAATGGGTAGGCATGCAGACGTCCCATCAGTGAATCAATGTCCT